TGACTGTCCACGAGCAGAAACCTCTCTGCTGACAGCACTCGGTTCCTGCCGTTATACAGACGCATATGTAATTTGTAATCTTTCTCTCTTAATGAGGTGAAAATCTCTCTAAACACCCACTGACCGGTTCCCAAAGGTCCCCCCGGACCAAAGGCCTCCATCTTGAAAGATCGATGACTGCATGTTTTGGTTCAGTAGACGATGGCAAATTTCGATATGTTAAAACCAACGCGTGGGCGAATATAACAAAAGAGACCATCTAGAGGTTAAAGGATGAATATACATTTCTTTTACTTTTTTCCTTCAAGCCTTGAAGCTACGTTTAAATTGTGGCCAGTCTGTCCAATCCTGAGTTGATATTTTCACTTCCAAACAGTGATCTTCCCGCATGTTGTAATAACAGCGAAGAAACAATAAGTCGGTAATTTCAATTTAAAGTGCATAAGGCCGAGCGACGGTACTTAGGGACGGACCATTAGAAAACTTATGGGGGGCGGGCGAAGTACAAAAAAAAAAAAAATTCGCGCAAGGGGAAATTAAATGAAAAAAAATTCTTTCAAGCCAATTAACCAGAAATATTCATGCAAGGGCCTGAAAAAAATTCATACAAGGAATTTGATACCGAAAAAAAATTCCTGCAGCTCGAAAATTCCCCTCCCCCCCCATAACTTTTCTAATGGTCCGTCCCTTAAAGTATCCTTTTGCCGACAAAATGCCAGTTTTCTATCAACAAATTATATCAGCTGCATTTCCCGCAATCACTAAGTGTCACGGTGATAACTATAAACGGTTTTATTAAAATGGGTTATAATACCGTTTGTTTTAGCGAGAACACCTGTCTGGAAAGTTTAATTTAAATTATTTCTCCCACTGACTCCTTATCAATTATTTATCAGGTTTATACGGCTACTTACAATTTCAATAATGATTGAAGCTATAGAATATACCCATTATCATGTATATTTCCTGCCAGCACGCAAACTCAGCACCAACAATCCAGCCTATACTTTGTACACTGTTCACGAACTCGAAATTATCCCAATTCTACCTGCGCAAACCGTCCTTATTATCGTCAAAGCTTCATTCACCCATGTGAAATGTTAAAATGCTATTAAAATGTCTCCTAAATGAGATGCAATTCACAGGTTGTAAGCAGAGCGAACACTTCCTTCCCAGTTAAGCCACAGTTATTTCAGAGGACCGTTTCCAAAGTTGACTTAGCTTTTCAAAATCGCCTAAACTCGCTGCCGCGGATTCTTGTATGCAATACTGAGCATAGCCTATACGTTCATATACGGACAGTGAATTTGTTCAGCTTAATGCACTGTATCAAAATTGGGCCTAAGCGATCGTGCCCAAACTGTTCATTAACAACCGGAAACTTTAACAATTCGCATGCAGCACAAAAGCAAGACCACAAATTTTTTTACTTTCTATATATCGCCAAATAATTTGTTTTGTTGTCTTAAAGACTTAAATGTGCTTCGCATTCAGCCGACTCAGTTGTTTAAACAAATTTTAAGAAAGTATTAGCAACAAAAAAGTTAAAAGCTGACCTCTGCAATAACCGAGGCTAATCTTTCGACCAGCTGGAAAGTCTCCTCGTCTTCGTCTTCAGTATCTGAAAATTTTAGAGCTTCAGCATCCATGTTCGTAGAAACAACAGTCCTTACCGGCTCGCTTATAAAATTTAAATACGTCACCAAGGCGCAAATATCCTGACGTTGCTTCAATCAATTTAATAAAGCGCACACCTTTTTAATAATTGAGGGAACGTTATACGAAACTCTTATCGATGCAAATAGGTTGCCAATGAAAAATTATAAGCTGAAATTAACGCGAAGTTCAGTTTAGTGGTTGACCGTTTGTTTCAAAACAGCAACTTATTTATAGCTGGATTTTTGAAAACCGGGTTAGCAAAAAATTACCCTGGGAGGAGAGGCCCTTCGAACCCTTCCCCTTGCCGACTTATCTAGGAATAGCCTGTTCCAGGCTCTCGAAGCCTGGAACAGGCTAGGATCGCCGCTGCGTGCCGTTTCGCTTACCTCTTCTCGAGCGAGATCCGGTTTCCTTAAATTATTAAATTATCTTCTATTAGTGGTGCTTCAAAGCTCTTACTAGTCGCCAGTCCACCCAGATGTGACCACGGGCCTGTTTCTCGAAAGTCCCGATCACTTTACGGGCCCGAAAAGCTGTTTTATGTTTGCCGGGTTTGCATTCAAGATCAAAGCTTCAGTAATTTTAAAAATGACAATATGAAACTATCAGTTAACAAACCAAATTGTCTGGTTTGTGAGCTAGGAACTGTGCTACTGTTCAACTGGTTTTGATTTTAAAATTTGCCTTCGGACCCGAAAAATTACCGGAGATTTAGAGAAACGGGCCCTTGGCCCCAGACCTACCGTCAGCTGCGTCAGTCTCCTACGTAGTCTAAAATCTTGTGTTTTAACTCCCGCGAGCTTGCGTACCGACTGTGGATTCATTAGTCAGTAACAAACTTGCAGCAAGTCACAAACAGCTAACGTTTTAGCTTTACATTTCCTCACTTCCTCTCAACATTCAGCAAAAGAATCTAAACGCATCGAATTGCCACGATGAGATAAGACGTTGAAATGTTTCTCAGCTTGAAAGACATTGTCTGCAAGTGACTGCGACTGAATGGTGTTGAATTTCTTAACAGAATTGCCCCGAGCTATAAAACTAGTAGATATCTTGGATATTTTTAGTTACATGTTGCGAGGAAACGCTGACTTTTGTTTTTATAGGAGATTTCTGCGCCCTCAGATGACAGCTATTGATCAGGAGATACATACCTTAGACAACCCATTTGCTATTCTATAACCCGGGGGGGTACTCCCTATAATGGCCCCTATCGGCAGGCTCCGCCCGAAACGGGTACCTTTTTCGGGCTCTAGGTTTATGAAAGAGTAGGAAAATGACGGAAATCAGTCATTTCAGTTTGTAAAAAGGCCAAAAGGGCTAAGAGAAGCATTTTACGACAGCGAACAATCGAGAAAACTTTATGCTTTAGTGATTTATTCATATTTCAAAAAACTTACGGCAGCTGAAAGGGATGCAAAGTTCTAAACAAGGCATATGAAAGGGATACCATTTCTCAATAGAAGGTATACGAAAGGGGTACGTATTCTTTCAAAAATGGTATATAAAATGGTAAGGGGTTGGACCTCGGGGCGGAACCCCTCCGTATAAAACTTTCAGTGGTACCCACGCCCCGGGTTCTATAACTTTTAATTCCGTGGGGGAAATCCTGTGGTATTACTATTCAGACAAAACCTCTTCCGGAGAACTTTTACATAGCACAGTTTATTTCTTTGAATTTTTTCTTTGGTGGAGGGGTTGCTGTGCGTGTTAAGGAAATATTGATCTCTTTATAACGCTTGTATAGTAGACATATACATTAGGTGTAAAATGTTGCCACTCAAGTTTAGCCAGGGACGAGGAATTTACAACTGGTGAGGTCTGGGAAGGGATTCCCGGAGAGAAAGCAAGTCGCTTACAACAAAGAAAGAGGAGATTACTTGACTTCTATGAAAATGCTGTGTGCGTGAAAGCAATGTAAGGTAAAAGTAAGAATTAAGTGCTATTTTCAAATTGGCATACCATCCTTTCTTTGCTCAATGTTTCTATTTCTTCACTAAAATTATTTCATTTTGCACGTTTGAGGAGTTATAAATAGTGTAACGATATTCCATGTAACCACTCGGTGGACTTTATATGATGGTTTTATGAACTAAACACTGATGATATATTGCTTAGTTTTCTGGCTTGAAAATAAACAAAGAAACATTCCGGTTCCTTTTTTGTTTTACGACACCAAAATAACCTGACCCTTTTTTACAAGTCAATCGTGGAGACATTATACTGGTCGTCTGCCAGATCCTTTAAAGGAAGGCTCGTGAAGGCAATATACTACTACCGGCGATTTCAATAAAATCTCTTTAGCAAGAGTTTATATGGTCCCAGCCGTTAGTCAGTTTCCATGCCTTTTAGATCACATTTGATGTTTTTCATGCATTTTTTCAGCTCAGGACTTTGCGGAAGTGCGGTCAAAGGGTCAAATAAACAGATCAAAAATCACTTCATAATTACGTCTTGGCTTGGGTCACATTTTGGTCGCTTATAGTTAGAAATTCAACACCAAAAGTAATCATGTCGCTGTTTTTCCAAAGCTTATAGTAATTAAAATGTGTAAAACAGGCATTTACTACCAATGTGCTAAATCCCGGTGAAACAGAAGGCGACTTTCAGTGCTAAATATCTTTTGAGACCTAAACAGTTATTCAAAACACCTTATTTTGTTAATAGGGTTTAATACTAGAAGCTACTAGATAACAGTTGTTTCCAATGCAGGGACGTTGAACCTTCGTGGCAGTCAATACGGTTTTTACAGCCCGCTTTGATGTTGTTTTGTTTTCAAGTTCTGTTGTTTAATTTGACTTGCCAATTGTTTAGAAATTACAAGAAGATAACGAAAAGACACGCAATGGCATTTGTTCGAGTGCAGAGTTGCCTCCGGCATACTTCATTACGACTGGGTACTCTTTGTTTTACGGGGTAAGTGAACAAAACACAGCTAATGGTACTCTTAGCCATAGAATTCTTTCTAAACTTCTAAATTTTCTTACTTGAACTCGGATAAGCGTCTTCCACTCTTGAGGTCAACCTCACAAGCTTTAAGAAAGAAAACTTCGATCGTTGTTTAATGAACATGATGAAATGAAGTCGGCGGTGATAAACTCAACGGTATGACCCTTGTTGACTGAAAGCTTTTAGAGAGGTCTTACTGGCGCTGTACACATTCATGAATATTAAGTAATAGCAACAAGGATTATTGTGTAATCCTCTTAATAGCCATGACGGGAAAGATTCATTTCAATACGGCTCAGAGAGCTGGTAAAATACCTCGGTTGCTGACGCCTTTCAGGCGCAATCAGCGTATTTAATTAAAAGGCATGCTTTCACCGATCCGATTTATAACGCATCATGTCGATGACACCGCTCACAGGGCGCGAAACAAAGCTCGGTGTTACCTATACAAACACCGCGTTACGTTAGCTCATAATAAGCAGTAAGACTGTTGATTTTCGCTCTCGGTTTTTCCTGGACAGTTGAAATTGCTTGTATCATGAGCGTGGCACCGAAAGCAGTGAGAAAACGTTCCGTCACTCTGAATTCTTTGGAGCCTTTTCTAAGGAAGCAAAAGAGGGAAAGGCTTCGTACAACCAGCATCAATTCCATCGCATCAGGAATCGCAAGCTTCCCAGAACGGCAGCGTTCTCTGACATGGCATGGCGCCGAAGATGAAGGTGGCCTTGGGGGCTGCTCACCCAAATTGACCCTGCCGCTGAATTCAGCTCACGATATTGCTGATTTAAAAGATTTCCACGACGAGTTGGAATCTCAAGAAGTCATAAAGCACATTATAACCGAAGAGCTGGATAGATCTCTCTTCGATTGTGACTACGACAGCGAAAGATGTGTGGCACAGTGCGCGGATATAAGCCAAGCGGTGGAATCGAGAGTCAAAGAAATCACTCCGCACGAAACGAAGGTACTGGCTGTGGTGTATATAGGTGAGATACGGGATCAGGGACTTGAAATAACCAGTCAATGCCTCTGGGACCCGGAAACAGACAATTTTGTAACTGCAAGTTTCAGGAGCAAGACTCTGTTCGCTGTGTGCACTGTTTTTACGGTTCAGTACTGAATATCACGAGGCGTTAACTTTGCTTCAAAGCCAAGTGTTGATACTTTAATTCCTGTTTTGCACATACAACACGCGTATTATTAAAGCTAAACTGCAACTAAGGCGAGGGAACCATGAAAATTTTCGGAGTGCAACATTATACTAAAAGCAAACAGTACCACAAAGTTATTTCTTGATAACTTTGACCTGAATGATTCAAAGTTATTTTACATATGTGAGAACAATCTAGGATTAAAGGAGTTAACAGTGGTGTTGCAAGTAATATACTTCGCAAACTAAACAGCGAACTTAGAAAAAAAAAATCAAGTATGCACATTTATCAATGACAATTTTGGAGATATTTGTAATTATTTGTGATGATCTCCCAGAATTAATGGTCCTCTGTACTCCCATTATTTGTTAGCATTTCTAAAGTAAGTACCGGTAATTACTCATCTTTAATTTGGAGAAGCATACGCAAACCCGCAAAACTACAGTTATTACAATAGGCATATAACGATTATTTCCGATACTTAGTTAAACAAATAACCCCACTTAAAAGTCACTGGGCACTGAGTTTGTATAAATATTCAACGTTTAATTTGGCTTCAGACTGTTGTAAATGATATTTCGATCGTGCAAATGGTGAACACGAGCTGAATAAAACTAAAAAAGTTCTCGGAGGTGAAAATTTTAACATCAAAGAATTGAAATTTAAAGTTCTTTCTTCTTCAAATAGCGGCTGGATCAAGGGTAATTACACTTAGTTCAGTTTCCAAATAAGGTAGATATTACATCAGAGTATAAATAAACTCAGCATATTTAAACGTACTGCATCCACTTGGTCAGAAAATCATAAAGCCAGCCAATCGTTTCTCTTTACTGTACAGTAGTAATCTCTTTGTTGGACATGTCGGAAACAAAGGTTTAATTATTTGCAAAGGAATGGCTGACGATAAATTTACAAAAATTGAATAAAACATAGTGCGGTATTAATTCAATGAGCAATTTATTACGAATAAACAAATGTAGCTATTTAAAGCTGCTGTCAACTTTCTCGTTGCACTCTCTAGCCTCGTGCCTTGCATTTATACATTGCAGCCTGAGTCAACCTTAAATTTGTTTTGAAAGGAAACCGCTACATGAACCCGCTTGTTAATTTTTTCAAAATTCGAGAGTTTAAAGTTAAATCTTGACAAGGTGATTTACAAATTTAATGATGAGGAACTGCGATCATGAACTCTTTTTTGATTTAAGCCCTCGCAGCTAAAATTAAGGGTGTTCTTAACTGGCTATGCCATTGCTATGGTAACTTGAAAAGCCAAGAAAACAACCCTAACTTGATACAATAAAATTTTTTTTTTTCAGTTTTTTTTAAGTAAGCCCATATAGCTACAATCAGGCTATGCCATTCCTATGGTAACTTGCAAATAAAATGACCGTAACTTGTTCTGAAATTGTTGACCACTTTTTGGTATGTTAGGTAATACATATGAAGTCGCGTTGCTGCAAACTTTATCGCGCTTATTCTATCCCATTCAATTCGTCAAATCTTGGCAATTTTTTCAGGAGTTCAGTTCTAAAAGACTGTATCGACGTTCAGAAAGAGAAGACAAAAGTCGTTGCCTTGTGTTCACGTCCAGGCACAAAACGTGAAATTAGGTATTTTCATCAGTGTCGTAGTCGTGGAGTGACGGCAAAGAAATGTACAAAAAAGCGTGATGCACGTGAAAAGCTTTGTTTTGCCAATCTAAACCTATTGCTTTTATGCCGTCGTCGTTGATTAAGCTCCCTATTTATACACCTGGGTGGGTAGAGGCAATGTGGTTCCTGAGCCGCAGGTGACATTGTACCTACCGGACCCTTCACTAATCACTATGAGTGACCAACAGCAACACGGTCCACACATAAACGTCGTGAGAAAAAAGGAAATCATCAACTAGTAAAGAGGATCTTGATCTGCGATTAATTAAAACCTCTTCATCAGAAACATAACAAATGTACATGGAGAACAGTACAATATGAAGAATATACCACATGGGAAAATAACTCCATTTTGAAGTTAAATGATAAATAGAAGGGGTTAATAGGCCAACGGATCGGCGGATTGTGAAAATATTTTTCCCGGATTTCGAATACAGAGCGAATTTTTTTTTTAATAAATCATAACGGATCGGTGGATTTGCATACCCCTATTCAACCCCCTCCTTATACCTCCAAAGTGAACCTCGTGTTAAATTTATTTCCAGCTCAGAAGTCCGATTATAACTCTTCAAAAAACACCCTGAACACAGCGTACTTTGATATTTGGTTTAATTGTCAACTAGGGTCCGTATTTATGCAAAATCTTACGCCTCGCTTGTTCTAAGACTTTCATTCTCATCAGCCAAAATTACGACTGCATAGCTATTTCCTCCAGTACTGTAACAACAACAGATCGCTAAGGTATAAGTTTTCCGCTAAAAATAAACGCATTACATATTTATTGACCTGTCACATAAACTTAATTTTACCCTTATGTCAAAAAACATAGATATATTAAAAACCGCTTTATTGAGGTTTTTGCCCAATAAAATTACTACTTAACTGTTTGGGCAGTAGAGTCAATTATTAACATCTCTTATTAACTACTCATTTGATATGACACATTATTTACACCCCAATCTCATTTTAAAATCCGCCAAGGAACCTATTGGAGCGGGTGACATATAATTGTTATATAACAAGCAATAACGAAAAACCACGCTATTGTTAGAGACAAAAGGTTGTTTCAAAAACGGAAACCTTGGATTATGTTCTCCGTTCAGGAAGTTAAGGAAAATCGTTTCAAGTGAATTATCGTTTAGAAAAGAACGTGCGAAGACTCACATTCTGGTTTCCTGTGAGGCAAGACTACGCGGAATTGAACACTGGTTGCATGTAAGATTGTTAGCCGGGTTAAGTAAATTCTAGCGATGCCGGCAAGTGAAGCTTCTAGTCGACGAAGTTCAATGACTGTAACTGATGTTAAAGCGGGGATGACTCTCCTTGATTCCAAAGGAACAAAATCAGTTTCTATCTACCCAAGGGTTCATCAAGCGGGCACTCAAAGCGGAGTCCATCCGATGGTGCCGAAAATCGCCAATACGTACAAGCTCAGTCCTGACGCGGATAAACGGTTTCGAAGCAAAGACGTGAAGGACGCCATCGACAGCGTGTTGGAAAGCCGGCTGGAGGGTTTTTCTTACGATGCGGAAAAATGCAAGTTTTTACTACCGAGTATAGCCGACGAAATAAAAGACAGGGTCAAGGTGATGGGTTTTGATAGATACAAACTTGTGTGTCTGGTGACCATCGGAAAATTGAACAACCAAGGAGTTCGAGTGGCCAGTCGCTGCCTCTGGGATACTGCAACTGATCGATTGGCTTCATCTTCGTTCTGCGGTGAAGACGTTTTTGCCTCAGCGGTTGTGTTCGGAGTTTATCGAGAATAGACGTCTTTTGCGTGAGTCTTATGAGTGTTTGAAAGGGGAGGCAGGGGGGGTAGAATTGTATGCTATCAACTTCCGCCTTTAATATAACAAAAATCTTTTGAGCAACGAATTTTTTCCATAATTAGTAATAGTGCAGGCACGTTGGGTTGCAGTTTCTCAGTCATGAGATACATATTTTCCCACTTAACATTTGGAAATATTAGGACCAGCTGAAGCTGCAACAAACGTGTAAACCCGAGCAGTTTACTGCAGACTCCAACGATCAAAGGGCCAATCGTAAATAATGACATGATCTGTAAAGAACTTCTGTACGCCCTTGACACTGTTTTCAAAGCTTTTGAGAAATTCAGTGCACTCACGAATAGACCACCCAGCAAAAATGGAGCCAGAAGCAAAGTTGGATACCTAAAAAAGCACCTTTTCTTTTAATTAAACCGAACTTACACAAACGTTAAGGTCGCTAAGGACATTTAAATCTAAAACCCGCAAATATTAAACACTGATCCTCAATAATGGCTAACCACAAAATCCAAAACTATAATGCCCAAGCTTTTTAGCTTGTCAGGTATGTCATAGCGAAAGTATATTGTGTTAAGAGGCTCTTATTTTACCGAAATGATTGTGAGATACATGGGATTCCACCCCCCCCGGATGATATGAGTGTGCATCGCATGATATTCAACGCACGAGTAGTCTTTAAGCTTTTCGTATACAAGACACGTAGACAAATTTTTGAGTGTGTGGATAAAGTCCTGTTGTATGACCATTGAAATGAAGCCTCTTAGCTCCTCTTCCCATTTTACTATTTGTATTTACTAGATGTCAAAGAAACAGTTACTTGTACTGAGGCGTGAATGGGGTTCTTAGCGGTGTTCTTTAATCTTGGTCTAGGCTTTACTTTAGCTGAAATCTCTATGAGGCTGTATTTACTTAAGAAAACAAAAGCCAGATCTTAAATCTGGCTACAAGAGTTTATTAGGGTCAATCATGCCACCCTGTTGCTATGGAGGAAAGTGGACTTTATACACCAGAATTTAATTAAATAAATTTATGAGTTCAAGCAATTTCTGTCATCACTTATGCACGAGTTATTAGCTGAGAAGAGCTTTAGTTCTCTCTTCTGAGTGAAAATATATGTTGTATCAGTATATATAACAGTGGCTTGAGCGGAAGCTAATATAAAAGGGGTTAAATATATTTAGTTTGTTCTCAGAGGGATTATTGTTATTTATATCTTAAGATGCTTTTTAATTAAAATCAGTGAAGGATAGCTGGAGTTTTAGTAATCAATACATAGTAACTATAGTAGCGTGTCCTTTTATTATGCAATATTTTAGGGACGGACCATTAGAAAAGTTATGGGGGGAGTGGGTGGGTGAAGTACAAAAAAATATTCGTGCAAGGGAAAATTATATGAAAAAAAAATTCACGTACACCTATTAATCCGAAAAAATATTCATGCTTTGGCCTAAAAAAAATTCATACAAGGAATTTGATAACGAAAAAAATTTGGCTCGAAAATTCCCCTCCCCCCCATGACTTTTCTAATGGTCTGTCCCTTATTCACTTCTTCATCTGAATAAATAATAATAAGTTTATTACTTATAGATGGTTTTCACAGTGATGTCATCAAATTGTAAAGTGAAAATAGCGAGGTTTTACGAATTCTTATTTACACTAGGTTGATGATAAACTAAAAGTAAATCTTTGTACAAGTTTCCATTCCCGTAGCATGTTTCATTTTGAAAATACAGCAATTTGAACTTCCCAGTTTTCAGAGTGCGTGACACCAAAATAGCAATGCTGTCTCGTTGAAAAAAAGTCTCTCCTCTTGATTTTCAGCAGTATAACCATTTCAAGTATTAGAAGATATGTTTATGCGCGCGTATGCTAGTTCTCGAGTGAAGAGAAAGAGCTTTATAGAAAAAGTGAACTCCAGATATTTTTGTTGATTTCCGGCGTCTCCACACAAAACTCCACAAAGGTGCGTGAAACGTTTCGGCAGATAACTCAGAAACGGTGGGCCACAAAGACCTGAGGCTTGGACAAATTGTTTATATATTAGTCGAATATAACATTTCATTTTCTTGGCTTCTTCCACTGGACGGTTTCCAATTTATTTTTTTGTTGCGTGACAGTGAAAACGATCTATAACGCGAAAATTCGCATATGTATATGATCAAAATAAATACGAAAATCTGGTGGTCGGCTACTAGCTATAGGCTAGCGAGAATAAGAAGCACAAAAAACACGGTTGATATTTTTAACATGCAATCTCGCTGGAAGAAAGTTTCCAAGGAAACAGTTCAATGTACTTCTAAACTACAATAAGGAAATAATGTTACCTCTAGTTCTGTTTTGCTTTGTCTTTGAATTCCAGGTGTACCTGAGTAAATCTCTGCTTTTCTCTCCTCTCATCCCGCGGCCGCCATTTTGAAAATCCCCACTTGGCCTCAGGTTTACGCTGGCGGCGCAGAACCGACTGGAAACTGGGACGGGATTGAGTGCGGGAATTTCAAAATGGCGGCTGCTTGTTACGGCTCCTGTTTTTCACTGTACTCACCGTGTACCCAGAGGAAAGCAGAATATTTACACAAGAAGGTAAGAAAAACATAGACAAAGGCGAGCAGAGTGAAAGGTAGGATTATCTATTTACTTAGCCTGAAAGGTAACTCAGCTGTTTGTTGAAACAGTGGGTTCATGTATTTGTGCAGCACTCGTTCGCGTACTTCTGTTTGCTATTCTTCGGAAATCGTAGCCTAAGTAGGAAAAATGTTCGACAAATTTCTTTTTAATACTTACTCTTTAATGACGAAAACGTAGCGTTTATAAGAAAGGAAGATCAGAGACCATTTTTGGCAGTCTTGGCACCTACCCCGTCAGGAAATCCTGTATGATTATAGACAGCTGTTATGAACTTGATTCGCAAGGGAGTCCGGCGGAATATTTGATCAATTTCATTTTATCTTTGTTTAAAAGGGGCGCTGTAGAGCGCTTTTCAGCAGCCTGTTGTTGTGCTATCGTCAGATCACTGCTAGCGAATTATAGCCGGTCCATGAGAATGTAAATGGTCGTAAATACTTTGTGACCATTGTTCATACAAATGCTAAAGAAAGGCTCGTAATATCAAATAATATAAATCTTTGCGTCCTCATGTACAGTAATCTCCTATCTGACAGAAGTAACGTGAAAACGCAAATATGCTATCTCGTAGCAATAAGAAACCTCCTTTCTTGCTCAGCTTTTCTGTGCTCGATCTTTCAATGAGATTGCGTTACAAGTGTTGTAAAGTGTCACGCCAGAGAGTTAGGAGGAAAATCAATCGCGAATAAAGGTGTTACAACTTTTTTATTCAATAGTTTGCATGTTTTAGACCAATCATCGTTAATAGTCTGCTTTTTTTACTTATAAATTCTGGCGACTTTGTCGGTTTTCGTAGTTATGTATTTCCACTGAATGTTTAGTTTCATTACAAACAGTTCTAAAATTGCTTGTATTATGATAATTTTGTTTGTTTACAAAAAGATGCAGAGTGATGTAAAAACAACATTGTGTTCTTGCTTCGTTAAATCTGAAATACGTTTTTATGTCAATAACTAATTGCTATTAAGCCAAAGCCCACGCAAGAAACCGAAATGCAATAATATTTGCATGACTTCGCTCATGTTAGACTCTAGGCGAAACTAAATTAAAGCTCACCGCACGTGGACACGATCTGACTTGCATATTACAATGATATCATTATCAACTAGGCTATGAAAATTATGTCAAATCTAAATTAACTTTCGTAAGTGTGGGTTTGTTACTTTCGCGGAGAAACACACGTTTCTTTTGATCTTTGACTTCCATTTTTAATACTATTTGTTTGAAAGGAAGTTACAAATCCGTTTGATTGATGGGCAATTACCTTATATTGGTCTCCCAATGCTTCTAATGGTGGTAGACTAATTGAGACCTGCCTACATTCTCTGCTGTAAGAAAAGACTAAGTCAACGAACGAACTCGCCCGCAGAAAAGTACTAACCAACACCACAATCTGAATGTGTGTAAAATGTGTATATTCTTAGTTCTTTAAGCTTGAAGCCGTATAGAGGCAAACAATCTTTGGGGCAAATTAGCTTGTGGCGAGCTTAATCACTTTAGTTTCTTAGGAATTATTGACCCTTTGACTAGCTGGAAAGTTGAGCAAGTTTCAAAACCTTTTTCCATTCGAATAGTCACATAAGGATTCTGTGAAAAGGTTCAAACGTGAACCAAGCTCTGCAGAGGTGTCCGCCGTATAATAGAGGTAGAAATTGTATGACGCTTTGTATTTTGGGAAGCAATTGAACTGTACATAATTGAGGGGTTTCCGGGCTAAGGGTATACTGTAGTAGGTTTGCCACTTTCTCTTGTTGAACATTTTCTTGCTACGTGGTTAGCATAACATTGTCAGTGTTGTTGATGTAAGTAGTTGATACTAACTCTTAATGCTAAGTCAACAACACAAATATTTATATCTGCTCAGTATGTTGTTTATAATGACTGAATCGCCCTGACCATTGGAATCCCTGTTTATCATGAGACATTTTACTCCAGCATTGAACAGAAATCAGCTATTACTCTGGGATCGGAGCGTGAACAAATCCTTTAATCTTCTTGATGTACTTTTCCCTCTCTGACCTTCTTTCTCCGTAAATCCCGTACACTGTTGCAACCGCAATCAGCTCGTCGCTCTTGTAAATATATTCAGCAAAACCGTCCTTTTCCACGCCGACTGCGCTTTCATCCCAGGCGCATCCACTCTGCATGGACGGAGGAGGTTTCATTTTCTTAGTGATACAACATGTGCAGACGAATTTATAATTCTTCATTTCGAGGGCGGAAACTTTTTCACGGAGCGTATTGACCAGTTGCCTTGTGAGCGCCGAACACTCTTTTGCGTCGTATCTTTTCCCTTTTAGTTTCGTCTCCAAAACGTTTTGAATCACACTGCCGACGTTCTCCTTAACGAAACCACTCGGAATTTTAACTTTATCAGGGTCGGCCGGAAGCGACCGAGAGCGACTTCGCAGCGGATAGTCAGCATGTGTCATTACGGCAACCCCGCGATCTTCATCTCGCATCTTGGGTCGCTCCGTAGGATCAAAAAGGGAGGTCTTTCTCTTTCTTATGACCGTATTCTTTGCGAGGGTTATTCCCTCGAAGTCCTCGATCACTTTCCTCGTGGAAATGTCAGACTCCATTCTTCAACTTTCGAGTGGCAAGGGATAAGTACACACCTCCTTCACACCTTTTTTTTCACAAAATGTTCGCCTTGCATGTGCTGAGTTACCCTTTATAAGAGTTTCAAGTGATTAAGCACTTTTGTTTTCTCCGTTCGTAATTCTTTGTTATCCTTTTGAAAGAGCTTCTCACGAAATAAACGCGTCAAACAAACAACTCACGATATGCTACGTCGTACACGCGAACGTACGCTTGATTTGCTTTGCTGGCAAAAGTTACTTGTTTTGGAATTCTGTTGCGCAAATTAACTCAATACGCTGTTTACGAGTTTTCTGAATGTAAACAAAATTCTTTGAGAGATTAAACGACATGTTAATGATAGTCACCTGGCCCTTAGGGCTAAATAAGGGGCTCGATCAATTATGACAACACACGTCGGTTTTTATCAAATGTTAATCAAAGAAAAACACAATTTTCGAAACGTTTGACTTTAAATAACCGTGGGATTGGATCGCAATAGCTGCTCAATAGCCATTAATTGATAGATCACGACGATTAATGATTATTTAGTTGAAAGTTTCTTGAACACTTGGGCATTCAACCATGACAAGTACAAGTGCAGTTTAAACATTAAGTCAAGATAAATGTCATTTTGGGACTATGCGACGCCGTTTTTGATCGAGAAAGTAATTGATCTTCACAAGAGGTACAGCTAGCAACTCAGAGCTCGTGAAATACCTTGTCTTCGAAATTTGCTGAATGTGTCCTGAATGTATTGCAGAACGATGACCTTCAGGTTTATGAGCAAACGTTCCAAGTTCCTCTCCCTTTTCTCCCTACTGGTTGTCCTACATTTCTTTAAAGTTGTAGGGAAAGCTGGTTTTCGATCATGATGGCAACCTTTGATAGGCATTCAGAGGTCATGTTATATAGTGCGAAGTGGACAACTATGAATGCCTGAGTTGGGGTAGGGTAGGGATTGGACTTTTTGCGTATGGGGTGACCGAAAGGGAAGGTCATTGCCTGTGACCATTTTTGGTTTGAAAAAGGGTGTCTTTTAGGTTTAATGTCGTTTTTAACGTCCGTTGAATCTGAAATTGCCTATTTTTTCCGCACAACCCTATCACG